TCTGGTGAAAATTTCATGTCATTAGCACCTCTAGTAATATATTTACTGAGAAAAATGGTGACGTGTTCAATACTTATTTTACCCGCTGTATTTCACTAAGGAATGTAAGGTCTTTAATTACATATGTTTTTCCATTGATGGTGATTCATAAACCTATGATAAACACATTTTCTCATAGGTAAAATAATGGTTTATCTAAGTGCTCCTCTGCAGCTGACTCCTGCTAAAAGTAAACTGCCTCTAGTTGAATCTGAACTGTTGATTCATTAAAACAAGCTTGTTGAAAATGTCACTCCTGCATGTGATATATTTTTTTGCTGACATTTATATGCGTAGGTGGGAAAACAAAAAAAGAAAAAAAAAACGAACAGATTAAGTGTAAATAAAAATGCAGCTATGACATCAAAACGTGAGCAGATGGATCAGCTAACCTTCTTCTGAAGACCTTCAAGATAACAGCTTGTATTAAAACATCTTTAGAAATGAAGCCGTGCAATTCTTAAACATGAATATGATGACTATTTCAAAAAGGGTGCAAAAAAATAAAAATAAAGAGAGACCAGTCGCTTAGATAAAAAAAAAACAATCCACAGATTCAACCATTTATTGGGGTAAAATAATTTTATTTTAGTTATTCCTGAATGAGAAAAGTACCTTAAATGCTCGAATAAAAATATTTTCTACCAACAAAGTACTTCTTGAAGGAGTGCATATTGCCTACCACCTTATATATTAAAATTTGAAACATTAACCTCACTCAATCTGTTAACACTCTTACTATGAAAACTGAATGACTCTCAGCTACTACCACATCAAATTTCATCATGTCTGTAAAAATCACAGAATAATTTCAGGGATTTTAAAAAAAATCTATTGAATAGGTCATAAATTATTTTGCTAACAGAATAACAGGTTCGACTCTAAGTTGAATTACTTCAATTTGGAGAAAGATAGTTTTATTCTGACCGAACTGATGAGCTTATGGCCCGTCTGAACAGGACCACAACCAAGAGGGTTTTTAAAAACACTGTAAAAAGTATAGCAGTTATTATTAATCTAATGTAATGGTGTATAAACTGTTGGTTTTGTGAGATTAAACAGTTTTAAGGCAACCATGGCCTCACTCAGACTAGTTTATTAATCCAAACAAAGCCTGTTTCTCCAGATTATTATTTATAAGATTATTTAAAGAGCCATCATTAACATATAATATATTAATTGTTCATCAGCTTTCCCACTTTAAAAGATCTGAACTCTTCCTTTAACTCCACAACAAACTGCTGTAAAATAGAAAAAAAAAACCATCAAATTGAACTTTAGCACTGATATACGTTTGGGAGATGTATGTGTATAAGAATGCACTGCACTTACATGCTTTTGTTTATATTTTC